GGGGGCCGCGGCTGCAGGCGGTGCAGGCGGCCGTTATCCTCATGCCGGACGAGAACCGGGAGGTGCTGCAGACCCTGCTCTACTTCCTGAGCGACATCGCCTCCGCCGAGGAGAACCAGATGACGGCCGGGAACCTGGCCGTGTGCCTGGCCCCCTCCATCTTCCACCTCAATGTGTCCAAGAAGGAAAGCACCTCACCGAGGTAAGGGTCGGAGTAGCTCTGGCCTCCCCAGCCTTCCAGCAGCCCCCGTCTCCCCTCGCCCCTTCCCCGTCCGTCCCGGGAGGAGGCCACGACATCGCCTCCGCCGAGGAGAACCAGATGACGGCCGGGAACCTGGCCGTGTGCCTGGCCCCCTCCATCTTCCACCTCAATGTGTCCAAGAAGGAAAGCACCTCACCGAGGTAAGGGTCGGAGTAGCTCTGGCCTCCCCAGCCTTCCAGCAGCCCCCGTCTCCCCTCGCCCCTTCCCCGTCCGTCCCGGGAGGAGGCCAACGGCAGCACTGCCTGCTCCCCCACAGGGCGATACATAAGAGGGGCACCATGGGGAAGCCTGACCAGAAGGACCTCAACGAGAACATGGCTGCGACGCAGGGGCTCTCCCACATGATCACCGACTGCAAGAAGCTCTTCCAGGTGGGTGGCTGCGGTATGCGCAGCCCGGCATTGTCCTCCCCGGGTGCTGCCCGTGGGAGACGCGACCTCGCCCGTGGGGTGCTGGTCCTGTGGAGTCAGCGTGGGGCTGGCGGCCGGTCAGCCCAGCTGCATCTCCTGGTGGTGCAGGTCGCAAGCTGCAGGACCTGTGTCCAGGGAGGCTGTGTCCATCCTTCCCCCCTCCTTGGTGGGATGAGGAGCTGTGGTTTTCTGGCTGCCCAGGGCTGCTCACAAAGCCCATGTAGGATCCTTCTGACTTTCTGAAGATCTGTCTGCTCTTGGCTTGTAGGTCTCCCACGACATCTTGCTCCAGCTGAGCAGCTCATACATGGCAGCAGATGCTTACCCCCATCCCCTGGCTGACTTCGTGTGTCAGGGGGAAAGCAAGGATTTACACTCCTACTTCGAGCAGAGTGTGCAGAACCTGCTCAAAGAGTCATCAGAGAAATTCAAGGGGTGGCTGAGCACCCCGGGGCCCCTGAATACGGAGCTCTCCTGCAAAAAGGTAAATGTCCTGCAGGGAAATGTGTATGGGGTGACCACTGGCAGCCACGGGTCCCGCGGGCACCTGCCAACCTGGCAGCAACCCTGGCGCTCGTTCCCTTCGGCGAGGAGGGATCAGCAACCCCTTCCCTGGCCAGAGTGGGGGCTCAGAGATGGACAGCTCTGGGATGGGGGGAGCTCTGTGCCCAGCAGTCCCAGCAGCGAGCCCACCATGGTGGTGTTAGCCAAGGAGCTGGCTGGCTGTGCCCATCCCACCCCATCCCGTCTCTAGCCAGCAGATGCGACGGTGCTGCTCCACCGTGGTGGGAGCCATCGGTAAAGCCGCTTGGGGGGTTAGCAGTGTGGGGGTCCTGCAGGACAGCCTGCCTGACCCTTCCCTCGCCCCTCAGGTTGGGGACGGGCACCCTCTGCGCTTGTGGAAGGTCTCCACGGAGGTCGAGGCCCCTCCTGCCACGGTGCTGCACAGGGTGCTTCGGGAGCGTCACCTCTGGGACGAGGACCTGCTGCAGAGCAAAGTGGTGGAGGCCCTGGACAAGAACATGGAGGTCTACCACTACGTCACGGACAGCATGGCACCCCACCCGCGCAGGGACTGCGTGGTGCTCCGGTGAGGGCAGGGAAGGACCCGAGCGGGAGGGTTTGGGCTCGGTTTGGGGGATCCCACCTTTGGCTGCTCCTCCCTGGGCTGTACAG